TTGATTTACTGGCAGCAAACGACAACACAAGGCGTTTTAATAGGGGTGTTAAAATTTGTTTTCACAAGACACAGCTGAAAACCATAGCTGCTTAACTGCCAACTCTGTGGTGCTTATGCCACATTACCAGGAGCTTGCTTTGGAAGCCTGAGCAAAAACAAACAAAAATAGTCTAAACTGTACATATTGTTCTCTCTCTCTGACAGAAATAATTAGCAATTTTTCACTTTATAAAGTCACTGCCAGCTCCAAGGTGACTTTCAGCTCCATAGACTCTGATTTTCTGCCAACACTGGAAACTAGTCAAAAGAATTGAGCCTCTAGGAGATTTCAATGAAGTCATGTGAAGACTCGTCCCTTCCAAAGTACACAGACTGTCCCATGGAAGCCGAGAGAGAAGGGAAGGGAGCAGTTGATTCTATGTGGAGGAATGAGGTGGGGAAGGCTCACAGAGAAGGTGAGCCTTACACGGAGTTGAAAGAGTAGATATTTGCTAGGCAAATTTAGCCGGTCTTAGTGGCTACGTGAGGGAGCTCTGGTGGCCTAGTGGTAAGAAGCTGTGCTGTAATCCCAAAGACACATGGTTTGAGACCACCAGGTACTCTGCAAGAGAAGGATGAGCAATCTCCTCCCGTGTGATTAAGTGCCTCTGAAAACCTGCCGGAGGGTCAGCTATAGGTCAGTTCTGACTCTGTGGTGCACAACAACAACAACAACAACAACAACAACAACAACAATAGGGCCTATGTGAGAGCAGCAATGGGCTCAAATGTGTCCGAGATTATGAGGATACTACAGGATACGACAGGGGTCAAGTCTGTTGTTCATTGCTATGAGTCGTACTCAACTCAACAGCACCTAACAATACAACAGCAGTGGCTGTGTGGGGCACTCTGGTGGTGTAGTCCACAGAGATTGCCCTGTTAACCCAAAGGTCTCGCTTCTCCGGTGGCTCCTATCCACCAGATGCCCTGAAAGAGAAAAATGGGTAATCTCTTCATGTGAGATTTACAGCTTCAGCTTTGACCTGAGGCTAATTCCATGCCAATAGAGAGAGAGTGAGAGAGAAAGAGAGGCAGGCAGGCTCTGTGCTGCATTAACAGAGAGCGTGCACACAGCTCCTGGAGGACAGTTCCTTCTAATGCTCCGAGCTTTCCAGGCTTCCGAAGTTGCAGCTCTCCTTGCCCCTACAGGTGAGGTAGTTCTCCTGTTTCGCCCTTCACGCTCTCTTGCTAGTTTTCTTGAAACCTGCTCAGACTTTGCCGCTTTCTCCAGTCATCTCCACTTCTTCTCATTTGTGTTCTGCTAGGACTTTTGCCTTTCAAGCATCCCACAAAGGCCAGAGAAAGCGAGTTTCAAATGAAGAGTAATGGCAATGCAAAATGCTGCAGAGGTTTTACTTGAAGGCGACTGAACAGAGTCCATTCTCTCTTTCTCCGCCCACCCCCCTTCCTTCCCTCTCCCCTTTCCCTGGTCCCCCCTCTCTCATTGCTCTCAAGTAGGAACCAGCTCCCCAAGGTGCCTCTCCATTGGGTTCCAAAGCTGGAAATTGTCCACACAGGAGGAGACTGTCCATCTTTCCCCTGGAGATGCTGGTGGATTTTAACTGCCGGAGTCTCACCTTTAGGTTAGCGGTACATCTTAAAGACTGCACCACCACACCGCCCTGAAGACCATCCATTGTATGTAGCTATTTAAGCTCCTTAGGGATCTCTACCAGCGAGGATGGCTACTGGAGCCTTCTCGCAGTATGCAAAAGATCAAATAGGGATGTTGAGCAGAAAAAGAGGGTAGAATTTCGAGGGAGCTGCAGTGTGAAATGTTGTTGAATTTTAACGTTGCTGAGAGTTGAATAAGCATCTAGTCTGTAGGAGAAAACCATTTGCTAACAACAGCTTGGAAGAGCAAGAAGAGGAAATAGCTCAGGGCTCATCTTAAAACTTTCTTACCCTCTACCTTGTTAGGGAGCTTCGGTGGCCTAGTGCCAGGAAGCTGTGCTGAATTCTGAAAGTCATGCAGTTCGAAGCCACCAGGTGCTCCACGGGAGAAGGATGGACAATCTTCTCACATGTGAGTACCTGCTTCTGAAAACCTGCCGGAGGGTCAGCTGTGGATTGGTTCTGACTCTGTGGTACACATCAACAACCACCACCTTGCTATGTACCCTCAAGTTGGAACTGACTCATAGCTGACCTGCCAGAGCATTTTCAAAGGCTCTAAATTGCATGGGAGGAGTTTTCTCATCTTTCTCAGAGAAACTGGCAGATTTGAACCATGTACGTTTGGGTTGGAAGTGTGACTCCTCATACACTAGGCCACTAGAGCTCCTTACCTTCGGCTCTAATCAGTCCTAAAAAGGTGGGTGATTTTAATCTGTGGCCCACAGGCCTGGTTTTAATAATTTTTTGTCATTCTTCTAAGTAGTATAGCACTGGTCTATTTGCTGTACAGAGGTAACTTGTGGTTGTTGTGATGCTAAACACTGTGACATTGATGTGCCAAATTATGATAATGGTTACCCATGGTGGACAGTGTTTGGTGGAGCTCCCCAATTAAAACAAGCTTGGAAGCAGGAGTGGCATCCACTTCCATAATAGCTTGCCTCAGGAAATCCTGTGAACCTGGAGAGAGGATGAAAGGCACCCAAGCGTTCAGCTCTTTTGTTCAGAGTCACTTTAAGTCATCTAAGATTTGATGGCACTTAACAACAACAACAACTAAATAGAAAGAGTCCTGGTGGTATAGTGCTGCTAACTGAAAGGCTGGCAGTTCTAATCCAGTGGCTGTCCCAAAATAAAACACTAGTTGAACACAATTGCCTGGCCTTCTTCCAGACTGCCACATCTCCACTATTCTCCATATAGACATTCAGGTAGTTCCCCACTAAACTGATTAGACATTATAATAAATGAACTACTTTAACCAATTGTAATTCATGTTATTAAACAAAATGCCTATGAATGACTGAATGAAAAAAAGAAATCAATCTTGTTTATTGTTGTTAGGTGCCCAAGAGTTGACAACGAGCCATATTGACCCTGTGAACTACAGACCTGAACTTCACCTTATCCTGCCCCATCCTGACAATCTTACTTGTGCTCAAATCCGTTATTGTAGTCGCTGTATCAATCCAATGGATCAATCAACAAAGTCAATGGATTGGTGCAGTGGAAAACCAATATGATTTGTAAATGTTTGCACAAATTGAAAAAAACAAGTATCTGGTGGAGGGAGGGGTGGGTAAAGGAAATGGGAAGGATCTGGTATTAAAAACAATATATATCTGAACTCTGAAAGTAAACCAGTACAAAATAAAAATTTTATTTTTTTAAAACGACAACCGAAGGTCTGATGTGAAAAATCCAACAGAAGAGTCAGAGATGAGTGAGAAATTGTAACCAGGTTTATAAGACGGATATCACTGGATTGTTGAAGAAAGAGAATACAAGAGAGTGTGTTTCTGAAAGAAAAGGATGCATTTTAGGTGTCTGGAGAATTTCTGCAATTCAAAGCAGAGAATGTGGGTCTGCAGGTTTGAGAAGGAGTTCACACTTTGTCAGCTGGATCTATTATTATCTATAAGGATCTGGTTATTAAAGTATTGGGCCACAAGGTACATGACAGAAGAGACATGAAAACTAGAAAATGTTTTCAGGAATGCTATGTTTAAGAGAGAGAGCTGGTGGGGGGAGGAGGCATCAGAAGGAAAAATGAGGAAATGCCACAGAAGTAAAAGGATAAATGGAGAATACAGCTTCTGAGGGTCCAGGTTGGAGGTGAGTGACACCAAGGAAGAGCTCGCCAGGGATAATTGTGGAGAATCTTTTTCTTTGACAGGATACATCATTTCATTTCTTGAAAAAATGGATTTTTGTTTTAAATTTACAGCTCCTCTTAGAAAAGGGTCCCTCTTTTTACATTTTATACTTAGAAATAATGAGAATTGTTCTGAACCCTTCTTCTCATTGTGCGGTTTTGTGCCTGACCTCCAAATGTTATGTTAGTCTTTGTGCAAAATTCATCTCAATCTGTTCATCATTTTTCATCTAATTCCTTTATTACGTATTGTCATTATGTGCCATTGAGTCACCTGTGACTCATAGCAACTCTATGTACAATAGCTCTGAAGCCTGCCCTGTCCTGAGCCAGTCTCACAGATTCTGACTCACCTACCCCCATTACCCCAGTTACTGTGTCAATCCATCTCATCTGGGGTCTTCCTCTCCTGCACTGTCTCTCCACTCTTCTGAGCATGATGTCCTTCTCCAAGAACCAGTTCCTCCTGGCTACATGTGCAAAGTATGTGACACAGAGATTCAAAATCTTAGCTTCCAAGGAGACTCTTGGTTTCACTGTCTTCAAGACAAACCTGTTAGCTCTCTTGGTGGCCCATAGTATGTTTAATACTCTTCTCCAGCATCATAACTCAAAGGCATTGATTCTTCTGCTGTCATCCCTAGTCACTGTCATAGCAAATTGAACATTACTGTTGTTGTCGTAATAGAGTTGTTCCTCGCAGCAAGGGTCAAATCGCATGTGATTGTTCTGTATCTGCTGTTTCCCAGTATCTGCTTTTGAGCATGAAAGCTAGAACCATTTTTTTACTGTGATTGATTATCCTGTGAATACTCCAGTCTCTATCCTCAAAGTGCTCTTATGTTCTTAGGGAGTTGGTTTTATCTAGAAGTTCTAGAAATGGTTCCTAGTGCTTGGATTACTCTTCTAAATACCAACCCCTCCTCTTTGGCAATGAGTACTGCTCACCAGAAGATTGTAACAGTTGTGTCTGGCTTATAGCCTTTCTAGGAACAGCCACCTCAAGTGGATGTACAAGCTCACTTGCCTCAGTGTCCGTTGAGTTGGATTCCATGCCATGTCCTACAGAATCTTTTCAGGAGGGTCTTACACTTCCCTTTGTAATGATCCTGAGAGGGCTATTGTTGTGGACTGTGCCCATTCCCTGAACGAACAGCTTGTGTTTACAAATGTCTGGGTCTCCTTCATGACAGACTAGGATGCTGACCAGGATGCGAAGCAACTTCAGCAGAACATGGCGGTGTTTGTGATAAATGATCCACATCTGAAAATTCTAAGTCTCTCAGTGAGTAGCGCCATGTGACTGCCTCTGGCTGCGGATCTATGACATAATCATAAATGAACATTCCTGGGATCTCCACACTCACAGGGCTACTGCGTGGGGTTCTGGGCAAAGTTAATGTATCTTCAAATGTATTGACGTTAGAGGGACTTTCCTGCCGAGACTCAGCCATTGAATGTTCACTGAGAACATCATCTTGGGCCACAGTTTCATAATTTAACTCCTCAAGAATGTCATTGCCAGAGATGTGCTGCTGTGTGGCCAGAATCTGGTGGCTGCCATCAGAAGTTGGATGTCCGTGGGAAAATAGCATGGAAGGAGGAGAAGAAGCAGAAGAATACAGGTCCGGAGAGTCCAGGTTGGAGAGAGTGACACCAGCCTGGGCTGCACTGTCCTTCAGAAGCAGGTTCTCAAGTCTACGCCCTGCTCCAGGGTTGTCCCCACCCTGTGTGGCCTTCTGCCAGCTGCCAGGTTCTGGACTAGAAACAAAATGACCTTCCAGATTCTCATGCTTCCCTGGGATATCCTGGAAGCTGTTGTTGTCTTCAAGACTCTCTAACGATCCAATGTTGCCCATCCTTTCCCTTGAGTTCTCATGGTCCAGGGGCTCGCTGGCCCTACAGCCCTCCGCGTCATGGGCTTCTTCATCAGACACATCCCGAGTACCCTCTGAACTTACAGAACTCATCGTAAATAAAGACCCCTCATCAGAGTCGTCGTCTGTCTCCAGCTCAGACTGAGTGTCAGAAGGAATGTAGTTGGGCAGAAATTCCCTGTGGGCAGGAGTGGCATCCAGGCCACTGGCCCATTTAGGAGGTAAGGCTGATGAAGGCCCAGTGTCCCCTGGATCACTGTGGGCCACTGTGCTGTAGTACACAGAAGGCTCTTCCTCGGGATGTATCTTCATGGGCAACTGCTGCTGTGTGCTCCTTCCCATTTCCTTAGAAAACCCCAGTGGAGGGCCTGGAGCACCTGGAGGTAACTGTTCATCATTCCCTCTTTCCTCTTTCTCTGCAGTTTGAATGGCACTGGTATCTGTTAGCACTTTAGAAAGAGGAACTGCCATTTCTCTTGCGGGAAATGAGTTTACTACATTAGAGACGTCACGGTTTGAACCAGCGGCTGTTTGAAATCTGTCAGCTACTGGAGTGATGTTCATTGGATTAAGGGAATCTTCACGAGCCACAGTTTCATAACTTTGCTCTCTAAGAATATAATTTCTGTAGATGTGATCATGTGTGGCTGCAATTGGTTGGCTTTGACCAGCATTTGGATGTCCGTGGAGCTGCACTCCATTGGGCATGGATGGGCGGGTTGCACTGTCATTTGAACATTGTTGATCATTTCTGGTCCCTGGCCCAGTGGTGGTGTTCTCACATTGCGTGGTGCTCTGCTGGCTGCCAGGCCCCTTTCTCCTGCTTCCAGAAGCTCTGCCATGAGGAACAGCAGTGTGTGGGCTTGGCATCACTGACAGAGCATCCTGGTCCTCATAGTGGTTCAGACCATGAAAAGCTTGGCTCAGAGATGTGTTTGGAAGCTGCAGATTCCCTGTTCCTTCGATCTCATCATAGAAGCCCTCATTTGAATATGAAGTTTTGGGCCCAGGGCTTTTGTTCCGGCATCTTTGTTGCCACAGTCTGTCAATATAAGGCCTTGCCAGAGCACCCAGGCAGAAAGCCACGAAGAATGTGATGAACACAGACAGGCAGACTGCCAGGGCGAGGTCCTGGGAAGGGCCGTCCTCCTTCCTGTCAAGACTCTGAGCATCCGGGGTATCTCTCCGCCACCTTGGCAGACGTCTCAGCTTCTCGCTGGCAGCAGAGTCGACGTGTTCCTTGTTCCCCAGGATGGACAAGCTCTTGGTTACCCCTTCCTGGGAACTCTCTGCTTGGAGCTTTCCCCTATGATTCAGATGAATGTGGGAGAGGTGGGTATCCCTCAAAATCCTGCTTTGGGGAGTCCACTGGAATGCCACTTCATTTCCTGAAAGTGGGGGATAGAAACACATTGAGAAAGCATTGAAGTAAGACACTCACTCATCCATTAATTTCTGTCAAATCAGAACCAACTTATAACTGACCCTCCAGTGGGTTTGCAGTGGCAGTAAATTGCACCAGAGGAAACTTCCCAGCTTTCTCCCCAGGAGCAGCTGGTGGATTTGAACCACCTGCCTTTGGGGTGGCAGTGTAGCTCCTTAACCACGAGACCACCAGTTTTAAAGGATGCAGAAAGTCCTCTTTAGTCCTTACGTGGTGGTGTCATGTGCCTTCAGGTTGGAACCGAACTGTAGCAGACCCTCCAGTGCATTTCAGAGGCAGTTAATCACCTGGGAGGAGATTACTCATTTGTCTCCTTCAGAGCTGCTGGTGGATTTGAACCTAGTGTGCCTTCAGAATTGCAGTGCAGCTTCTTACCACTAGGCCACCAGAGCGACACTCGTAAAGTGCGTAGTCCCTGATGATAAACAATGTGTAGTTTGAACAACAACAGTTTGAATTTATTTATTTTGGGCTAGTGCCGACAGTATGTATATGGCCTGATGTTAGGGAGCTCCAGAGACCTAGTTCACAGGGAGTTAACCCAAAGGCAGTGACTCTCCAGCAGTTCAAATCCACCAGCAGCTCCTCAGGAGAAATATGGACACTCTTCCCCTGTGTGATTTACAGCCTCAAGATTCTGACAGAGGGTCAGCTATGAGTCAGTTCCGACTCACTGACAATGAGGTGTGGTTGGTTTGTTTATTTTATTAGGCTTAGAAGGAACCCTGGTGACACAGCAGTTAAGTGCTCTGTTACTAACTGCCAGGTTGACAACTCAAAGCCTCCAGCCAGTCGACAAGAGTGAGATGAAGCGATCTGCTCCACAAAACCCTGGAGACCCTACGAGGCACGTTTACTCTGTTCTGTAGGATCGCTATGAGTCGAAATCAACGAGATGGTAATGGATTTGTTTTTTTATTAGGCCTAGAGAGTCCTTGGACAGTGCAAATAGTGAAGGTTAAGGACCTTGCTACTGGCCAGAAGGTTGGCAGTTCGAACATACCCGGAGATGCCTTGGGAGAACGGCCTCGCAATTTTTTTCTGAAAAGTCTCAATATGGAACAGATTATGGGACAGATCTCCTATGGAAGAGATCTCCTCTACAGGTTTGGGGCCACCATGAGTTGTAGTAGAATTGACAGCAACTAAGAACAACATCAAAGTGAGGCCTGTTGTTGATAGGCCCAGCAGGATGTGTGCTTCTTAGCCTCCCTGCCTGCTGCGCAATGGGAAGAAGACAGATGGGAGGAGGGACAAGCACGTGGCCGCGTGGGAGCTCACTCACTCAGATCTGAGAACATCCACCAGCTTCTGCACAGCGGCCTTGGTCTGACCTGTGGTTGTGTTACTAACTCCTCATCTTCTTCCAACGGCGGGGAAGAACAAAAGGATTTAGGTTTCTCTCCTGGCTCCTGACCTTGCATCCTTCACAAGCTAAGCACCAACTGTGGCTTTTGCAACAGAATCAAACATGCTATGGCTGGCAATATTGAGATTATCTCTGATCTTCAGGGATTTCATCAAATCCAGCAAGCACACTCATCTTGCTACTTTAACAGCAGTCCTGAGTAGAATGAAATCTAGGACTCAATAAAACAATAATAAAAACAGACACCCTGCCCACACTTAGGAGTTTGAGATTTAGCCAAGACAGTTAACAAAGGAAAAGGAAAAATTCCAGAATGTTTAACAGCAAGAACATATTCTTATAATTTATGAGTGGCAGTAAACAAATAAAAGAAAACCATAATATTGAAATATGTTGGGCCATGCTTTCAAAGTACTAACAAACATTTAAAATAAGGATATTTTCAATTGAAAATGGGTTGGGGTTTTGGGTTTTTTTTGAGTCATTATTTGCCAAGAGTTAAAAATGCAATACTTTGGGGACTTTTGGGTACAGCTCTGCTGGCCTACTGGTGAGAAATCATACTGCAATCTTGAAGGCACAAGGTTCAAATCCATCAGCTGCTCTGGAGGAGAAAAATGGGCAATTTCCTCTTCTGCAATTAAACAGACTCTGAAAATTCACTGGAGGGTCAGCTATGGATTGGTTCCGACTCATTGATACACAATAACAACAACAACAACAGGGCAGAACTGTCTCAGAGTGACGTTCTTGTCCATATCTAGTTTCTGAACTATTGGAATGAGGTTTCTTTGACAATATACAGGAAATCACTTAGGAACTGAGGAAAACAGGCATTAATGATTATTCTGTGATGTGGTCCAAGGCTAGGACTCTTGCTCTAACTGGGACTGTCGCTGTTTTAGGAACTCTAGGGAGCCTTGGTGGCCTAAGAAGCTGAGCTATACTCCCAAAGGCACACAGTTCAAATCTACCAGATGCACTGCAGGAGAAAGATGGGCAATCTCCTCCCATGCAATTTACTGCTCCAAAAACCATCTGGAGGGTCATCTATAGGTTGGTTCCAACTTAATGGTAATTACACTAACAAGTAGCATAGTGGATAAATGTTTGACTTCTAACCACAAGGCTGGCAGTTCAAAACTATTAGCTTCTCCATGGGAGAAAGATCTAGCAATGTACATCCAATCCTATTATGTCCTGTAAGTTTCCTTATGGGTTGGGATCAACTCAGTGGCATGCAGTATGATTTTGGCTTAATCATTGTCTTAAGTGTTGTGTGTGCTGTAGAATTAGAACCAACCTGTAGCTGACCTTTCTTAGGCAGTAAATCACAAGGAAGGAGATTGTCCATCCTTCTTTTAACTAAGACTACATTCTTTATGTGTATTTTCAAGGGCAAATGGATCCATTTCAGAGAGTGAAAATGTATGACTACTGACTTACCTATGGACTTACTGCAAATTTTACTCCACTTTTCCCTCCAGGATTCAGAAATGACATTTTGGAAGAACGCTATGCTATCGTCACAGTGCCACTGGTTGTCAGCCAAGACTGCCTCCAGGTGGGGAAGCTCGAGAGCAATGGCCATCAAGGGGAGGACTGTGGTCAGAGCATTGCCGCTGAGGTCTACAATCTGAGAAGAATGAGAATAAGGAGCACTCTGTGAACAACATTTAGCAATAAAACAAACAAGCTATATTGAACATATATTGAACATGGGCTTCCAAGAGAACAAATATGTCTGTCTTGTATAGGGTGAAACCAAGCTGCTCCTGGGAGGCTAGGAATCTGAATCTCCATCTCACATACTTTGGGCACATGGCCAGGAGGGACCAGTCCTTGGAGAAGGACATCATGCTTGGACGGGTAGAGGGACAGCGCAGGAAAGGAAGACCCCGGATGAGATGGATTGATACAGTAACTGGAGCAATGGAGGTTGGTGCGTCAGAGTCAGTTAGACTGGCTCAGGACAGGGGAGGCTACAAAGCTGTTGAACATAGGGTTGCTATGGATTGCAGGCGACTTGACAGCTAATAACATAACAGAGAAAGGTACTGTTGCTTTAGTCTCTTTGAAGGCAGAATGAATTTACCGTTAGATTTGAAAACCTGATACTGGGTTTACCTTTCTGCTCTGCCCTTAACAACTCTATGAAGCAGCAAAATTGGGTCATCTTTACAAACTTGCTTCCAAAAGATGTTGTAAAGATTAAATGAAGTGTAAAACTCTATGTATAGCACCCATCTTTTTTTAATAGTACCCATCTAAATTTAAATCTTAAATTTTCCTTCTTTTTTTATAGCATTTGTAATTTACACTTAGATAAAACCTAAACTTCTGCATTGTTATCTTGACTGAAATATGCTAGATAATAGATGTCGAATTTCTAAAAGCACCATGATATTGAAAGTGACAATGTACAGACTGAGAGGCAAGGACAGAACATAGAGTAACTGTGGTTGACTTGAAGTTGCGGGGGGGGGGGGGAAGATACAATGAGAAGAAAGCTTTTACATTAAATATTATTAGTTCAAAGGCAACACATTTCTCTGTATGTCTGGCTGGTTATTATATGCAAACTGACTAGTTCTTCTAGTCTTGTCAGGAATGGAGGAGGAGTTAAGAACAAAAAAGGATTCAATGGCTTTAGAACGACAGAGCAGGAGCTCAAGGGAGTTGTAGGATTGTGTCCCCAAATAGCAGGAAACGCACAGCAATGGGAAATTCTAGCTACTATTAGCAGGACACTGCTGTGTCAGGCTGCCATCCCATTTACCTTTTTTATATTTAAAAGAAAAAATTAGTTTTCATACAAAATTCATATACATTGTGTTTCATCCATGTACATTGTTTCACATCATCCTTCATTCACATTGTGTTTCAGATGGTCATTCCCACTTATAAAACACTGTGTTTTTATAAGATGAAACACCATTGATCTACACTCTCTATCACTGTGTCTTTTCAGGGTCCCACTAGATCGATCCTAGTTCCTTCATCCTCCTCCATCTACCCAGCAAACTCTGCGACCCCATAATTTACCCCTTCTCCATTTACTTTAGGGAGTTTGGTGGCCTAGAGGTAAGAAGCTGCACTGTAATCCCAAAGGCACGTGGTTTGAATCTACCAGCTGTTTCACGGCAGAAAGTTGGGCAATCTCCTCCTGTGAAATTAACTGCATCTGAAAGCCCACCAGAGGGTCGTTTATGGGTGGGTTCCGGCTTGACAGTACACAACACCACCACCTCCAACCCATTTACCATTACCCAATGCAGTCTTTAGCATAGTTTTAAAAACTCTGTCTACAAGCTTGCCCATTGCCCTTCATAAGCAGTAATAGTGGGCTCTCTCTTCCTCTTTATCAGGCTCTGACATGCTGAGTCACTATGTACCTGTCCTACCCTCCCAGGAGATAGGCACCCGACAACTAAGCATAGCTTCAGTACTCCCTAGGCCCCATCCTTGGGAGTCCCTTGCTAACTCTGACTGCCTGACCGGAGCCCTCCCTATGATTCCAGCTTCTCTTCGCTTTGCCCCTGGTGCAGCCCCCATGTGACACTCAAGTCACAGCGTGCGGCACTTCTGTCTCCAGTACATGGAAGCACAATAGACTCAGTTACTCTTCACGGCCTCCCTGACTCCCCTTTCCCACACCCACCTGGCTTAGAATCCCAAAGCTTTGCTTAGGCATGGGCTCTTTGGAGTGCTTCACAGACATTACATTTTCAATCATTGATTTTGTTGTTGAGACCACACACAGCAAAACGTGCACCAATGCAACAGTGCACAATTCAGGGACATTAGTTCTGTGCATGTTGCATAATTATTTTCACCCTCTTTTTTTTAATAAAATTGATATTTTACACCGGTTTACTTACAAAGTTTGTGTACATTGTTTTTCACACTGGATCTTTCCCATTTCCTTTCCCATTCCTCCCTCTACCCATCAAATTGTGCAACCCTATGATTATCTTCCTGTCCATCCTCATCCCTCTGCTCCTACCTTCCCCACTTGGATCCTCATACACAGTTTACTAGTTATCTTTCTATTTCTAAAATAATGGTTTTATACAGTATTTGTCCTTATGAGACTGAGCTAGTTCACTTAGCATAATGCTCTCCAGACTCTCTCTTTTTGAGCTGTTCTTCCCTCATTAATATAGATTAAAATGACAATAGTTATAGAAAGGCTTCAGGTCTTTTGTTCATAGGGTTGCTATGAGTCATGCTCAACTTGATGGCAATCAACAACAAACATAATAACAACAACAATTTAAACTTTAAGAGTTTCTCTTGTTGATTTCAACTGGATCCCTTACAGATAGAATGTCTGCTTTGCATATGGAAAATCCTTTATCCCGATCACATGTTGCAAAGACAGTATTTTAGATATTGTCATCAGGTGATGGCGAATCAACTCAGTGACCTTGGAAAAACAGAGCAAAACCCAGCCCTTTCCTGTGCCATCCTCATGATTACCTCCCATGCTAAAGTCCCTTGTTGCAGTTGCAATGTCAATCGATTTCATTGAGGATGCTTTTAAATATAGTGGGTCAACTGTTGTTGTTGTGTACCACAGAGTCAGAACCGACCAACAGTTGACCCTCCAGTGGGTTTTCAGAGGCAGTTAGTTGCAAGGGAGGAGATTGTCCATCCTTAAAAAAGAGGTGTGTTTTTTTAAGAAAAAAAAAAAATAATAACAGCTGGTGGCCTCAAACCATGTGCCTTGTGGGTCCACTGGGTTTTAAAATGTGTCTGTTCACATTTGGGAGCACTGGTGGTGCAGTCTATAGGGAGTTTTGCTGCTAATCCATAGGCTGAATCTTTCTGCTTCCAATCTACCAGCAGCTCCACACAAGACAGACAGACATTCTCCTTCCGTGTGTGATTTACGGCCTAGGAAGCCCATGGAGGGTCAGCTAGGGATCAGTTCCAGTGTGACGGCAGTGAGAGAGTTCATGTTTACTTTTATACATGTCGTTACCAGAACATTTACACTTAATGGTGACTCACATTTTGCTTTCACTGAATGAGACACAAGTCTCTTCATAGAATAGGGTGAGTGATGAAGGTTTTTGAAGTACACGATGAAGGTTTATGAGGTCTGTGATACAGGTTTATGGGGGCTGGAAAAGAAAATCTCCTCCAAATCACCTTGATGCCACCACTAGAGGCCAATGTGGTTGTTTCTAATGGACCACTCAAGGGAGGTTGCTTACTATCCTCTCACAGGAGAAGCGATAGAAAGAAAGTGCTTGGAGGATAAGGGGCTCAAGTCCCATACCTAGAGTAAGGTCTTGGGGGTTCCTCACTCTTATCTCAGACACCAGGACTCTAAATGCATCACACGTCCTCTCAACACAGGCTCAACGTTTAGGACAGTGTGTGGTATGTAGTCAGTGCTCCCCAAGTAGGAAATATTATCCCAGTGATTACTAATAACCCCATGGCCACGGTTGGGCATGAGAATACCTGGGTCATCAGCCTGCAGAAGCTCACAGAGTCCTAGACTGTTGACCTCGCAGCATTGGCCAGAGTGGTAGAAAGGACTTCCCTAAGTGTTCTAGATTGCATATGACTTCTGGAACATTGGGCTGTCTGTGCATTCTAGGGAAGGAGAATCACTAATATATAAGATTTAATTTTTTTGCTGCCTGGTAAGTGGAAATCTGGAGTTGCATTTGCTTTACTTTAGAAAACTAATGTGACAATTCTTATCGTTGAACATCACACTTGGGTGCAGTTCGTATCCATTACTGCAGCTTTGCCTGTTACTGTGGGCTTTCAGGATCCCTACTGGAGCAGTCTGTAGGGAGGTCTGCTGTCGGCCCAAAGGTGACACCTCGCTGGCAGTTCAAATCCACCAGCAGCTCCTTGGAAGAGAGATAGGCAATCTCCTGTCAGGTGGTTCATAGCCCCCCAAAGCCCATAGGAGGGTCAGCAATGAGTTAGTTCTGACTCAGCGGTAATGAGTTCAGTTGTTGAGTTGACGTTTAGGCCCAGAAGAGACTTTGTCTCTGTCATTGTGGTTAGGTGCTGTCAAGTATGACTCATAATGGCCCTTTCAACAACCAATCTGAACCTTGTCCTCACCCTTGCTCTTAAAATGCACATTTTTTTTTACTCATACCTAGACCTACTAACAAGAAGAAACTCTTCAGTAGAAATATTCTTATAACACAATAGTTCATATAAGTTTGCATATTTGGAATATTAGAAACACTATTTTAGAACCTGCAGTTTTTTGAGAGTCTTGAAGGCCCTTGGGTGAATTTTGAAGATCCTGTTGCTCTTTAAATAGAGGTTCTCCAGTTGCAGGCAGTTATGGAAATCAGTCAAACCAATCTGTGATATCTCATTGAATGACAGATCCAAACTCTGCAATGACTTCAGGTTCCACAGTCCTGTCAAAATCAGAGAGCAAATCAAAATCCACACTAGTGATATTCATGGCAACATAAATGATTCTCAATAGAGAAATGTTGTTAAGTACCGTCGAGTCACAGGTGACTCATTGCGAGCCCCTGAACGAAAATCCTGGACACCTGTATAACTTTTGTCCTTTCTCCAGGTTCATAGGGTTTCTGGAGGCAAGCTATTACAGATGTGGATGCCACTCCTGCTTCCAAACTTGTTTTAATTGGGGAGCTCCACCAAACATTGTCCACCATGGGTAACCATTCTCACATTTGACTCATCAGTGTCACAGTGTTTGGCTTTACAGCAACCACGAGTGACCTCTGTACAGCAAGTGGACATAGCAAGGTTACACAACCCAGAAGAATGTTTCACCAAAAACATTAAAGCAGGCCAGGCCTGAGGGCCGTGGAGTAGAGTCACCCACCTTTGGCTTGGAAGCATGGCTTTCTGTCTGCTAGGCCAACTGCTCCCTCTCTATGCTGTTGGTGGTGGTGGTGTTTTTAAGTGCCATCGGGTCACAGGCGACTCATAGTGACTCCAGGAATGAAAGTCCTGGACACCTCCTGTATAACTTTCATCCTTTCTCCAGGTTCATAGAGTTTCTGGAGGCAAGCTATTACGGAAGTGGCTGCCACTCCTGCTTCCGAGCTTGTTTTAATCAGGGAACTCCACCAAACACTGTCCATCATGGGTAACCATTATCACATTTGATGCATCAGTGTCGCAGTGTTCAGCTTCATAGCAACCACGAATGACCAATAGAGAAATAGTTAATATATAATCTATCAATATTACAAAATACTGTGGAGTTGTGAAAGAGATGGGGTAGATCAACATGAACTGACTAGACAGAATTGCAAGGAGTGAAGAAGGAAAACGCTAAGTCTCAAAGCATATCATTGCAGGGTTTGGTGGGGGGCAGAGCAACACAATGTCATATGTCTACTTGAGTGAGCAGAGAAAAAGCCGACAAGGATATCAAGAGTTGTCAGGGGTGAAATCGTAGGTGGTGCAAATGATTAATGAGCTTATTAGCCTATTAATCCAAAGATTGGGATTTTGAGTCAAGCTGAAAGAAGGAAAGAAAGTGCTAGTGCTCTGCTTTTGGAAAAGTCAGACACTGGAGTTGTCATGGAGCACAGTTCTACTGTGGCCCGTGTGGAGTTGTCATGGGGCGTCTGCTCAATAGTAATCACTTAGATTCTGGTTTAGGAGTAGGAAAAGTGAGAGAGGGGGCATAAGAGAAGGAAGTAACAATCTGGAACTCCTGTTGTTGTTGTTGTTATGTGCCGTCGAGTAGTTTTCGACTCATAGCGACCCTATGCACAACAGCCCTAAACTCTGCTCTACCCTGCGCCAACCGCACTGCCCCTGACACACCCATCCCGATTACCCCAGTCACCGAATCAATCCATCTCATAGAGG